AATAAAAAAGTGATTTGACATTTTAAAAAAGTATATGACTGTGGCAAATAGCATAAAGATAGGATGCAAATGACTGAGCTTAGGGATGCATTAAGTTAGAGCATTCTGATGACTAAAGAACTGACCGACTCCATGGCCTAGCATGTTCTTCTTTGGGCTGCGTTTGAGTTAGAGTAAGAACCATCTGGCTCTTGGCTCTCTTATGGGATCTGCTTATGAAAAAGGAGAAAGATGAGAAGAACCCTACGTCTATTAAACACTTGTTGTGTGCATCATTTCTTTGACTCCTCAGCACAACCCAATGAGGTCGTCCTATTAGTAACCTCATTTTATACATGAAGAATCCAAGGGACAGAAGAATGAGTAATTTGCCCAAGTGATCCCTCTAGAAACTGGCAAAGCTGTTAGACTCCAAAACCATGCTCTTGACTGCTGTTCATACTGTTTGTCACTAAACTTAAGGATCATAAGTCATCTCTAGAAAATGTGGGATGACTCTTTATCCCCGCCAGCAGTTCGGGTCACTTTACTGTATGTCTGATGAGTGCATAGAAATACCCTGAAGTTCACGTCCCACCTGCAAACGTCCGTCTGATTGAAGAGGAACTCTCATAGTTGACTTCATTCCAGGCCTGTATCTTTCAAAGAAAGACAGATTGTCTCATAGACATTCAACCCCTGCCCTTCCGCTTTCCTTCACAGATCCACTGTTGGGAAGGTTGCCCACTTTCCTCTAATCATTCCTCTCCTTGAATGGTTCTAAAAGTTTCCCAGTATCATTAGAAAACCAAAACACAGAGGGACATTCAGCATCATGAAACAGATAACATAGCTCCATTTGAATATTTAAAACATATATTCAAATTTCTACTAGGTACTGAGGGAAGAAGGCAACAAGAGGCCAGTGACGGTCCAGAGAGACCTCATGACCCCTGCAGTTATCATGTTTTAGATTCCCAGCTACCTGTACTCCTTATGGATTGTTTTACAAATGATTAGCTTTACGGCAAAGAGCCAGTCAAGTGAAAATAGCATACCTCTAAAATTATAACTAGAATAAATAAGTACATGTGCTTGACAAAACTTGTCTGTACATTGGTTTTGTGATTTAATTTCAAATTTGCACAAAACTATCTTAGCCTGAGACAAAGGATTGCTTGCTTGAGGGTAACTTATTTGGGATCAAGGGTTAAGGACGGTGGAGTGATACAGGGAACGAGGGAGAGGCAACACAAAGATGCATTATTGCATTAGCCACCCAATGGAAGAATGGTATTCATCCCATGGAACCTTCTGAAGAACCTTAGGAAATCTCGGGACTGTGTGCTCCAAAAGCTGAAAAGGGGAAGCATTTATTACCCACTAAAGGTGGTCCAAACTTGTGATCACGCACACATGGGTGCGGAGCAGGTTCCCATGGCTGCCCCATATTGTACCATTAGGACAGCTCTGGGGCAGGAGGCAAGAGGTACTTGACAGGGTCCCGAGGAGAGACACTGCCAGGTAGCATCCACCTGAATGTGGTAAAACTTCTCAGCCTAGGTAAGAGATGGGGCCAAGAACATTCAGAGTGGCTCCGAGGAGCTGCCCAGTATAAAACCTTTATCAACAGTTTCATGGACATCTGCCCAGGCACAATTTTTGAAGAATACCATTCACTCCTTCATAAACTCATTTGAAATCATTTATTAAGCGTCAACTGCATTCCAGTTCCTGTGTTAGATACGAGGGATAAAGCAGTGACCAGACACATAAGTAAGTGCCTTGCTCTCTTGGAGCTTACAGTCTTTGGGGGAATCAGACATTAGGTAAATTATAACATAATTACTGAACTATAATTATGATAACTGTTATGAAGGAGAAGGGTAGGATACACTTCCTAGTTATGAGAATCAAAGAAGGCTTCCCTGAGGAAGTGGCACATAAGCTAAAACGTGCAATGGAGGGGGGAAAGAAAGCAAGGGGGCAATACAGGGAAGAGAGGAAGAGAAAGAGTGTAGCTAGAAAGTGTGTGTTAGACGGAAAGATGAGCATGAACACATGCCCCCTGGCAGAAACACTTAAACTGTTCCGAGTAAAGAGCGAAAGCCAGTGGGTCTGCAGTGGGTGAGTGAACAGGAGATGTGGGGGTAAATTAAGGCAGGAAAGGTGGGCAGGGGACAATAAGGTTTTGATTTTATCCTACATTCATTGGGAACCTACTGAAGGGTTTTGGACAGGGGAACAATGTGACCAGGTTTGCAGTTTGTTTGTTTTTTTTACATAAATCAAGATGTACTTGTAAATACAAGCAGCAGAAGCTCATAAATGTTACACAGGTATTTAAAAAGAGCACAGTCTATAATCACTATGTAACAGTACTAGTATAACCAGGAGTGTTGATGAGGTGGGCGCAATGGACGGGGGTAGCCTGAGCCTGGAGTCTGGGAAGGTGTGCATAGGTCACCTTTTTGTTTGTTTTTGAGGACTAGATGTTCATCTGATTTGATGCCAAGATAGCAATTGGGTAAGCCAGGGTAAAATCCCCATTTAAAATTCTCCCCCTTCCTCAAAAGCTTCACAAGAAAATTTCTCCCCAAATTTCAACTAAAATTAACCTCTTATGTGGGTGGTGTTGGGGACCACCTATAGGGTGTGATTTGAGAAATGCTAAAAGACCACTCCTGGTCAACGTAAGCTTTCTCTGTCCTCCACTAGTGCCTAAGATGCTACCATCACAATTCTATTCTGCTGAATCTTCAATTGCCAAATATGCTAGCACAGAGCAGCCCACTGCTCTGTCCTGCTTTCCTAGGACAAAGCTGGGTTTTATTTTGTTTCCTCGGGGATGGGAGGGTTTGGAGCTTTTTGAGACCACTGGCCATAAAGGGGCATAGAGGAGCCATGAGTCTGGGCAGGTTACAGACAGCGGGCTCCTTTGACTTCATCATTTTGTTTTGGGCTGGCCCTGGTATGTGCAATGCGGACAATATGTATAAATGTGTGTGGATTTACATAGCGAAGGTATATGGGTATACTTATGACATGCACATGACTTGATAACATAGGAAGCAATAACAGTAAGGAACACCGGCCCTGGGACTAGGCCAAGCTGGGTTCAGATCACAAGCCTTGTAAGCCTAGGAAAGTTACAGCGCCTACCTTACGGGGTGGTTGGCAGGATTCAATGAGATAATGTGTTTAAAGTCTTGGCCCTGGTCCATGGCATGCAGCAAGTGCTCCCTAAATGTCACTGTTAAGATTACATGTGTGTTTGTCTTTACGCAAGCATGTGTGTGCGTGTGCCTTAGGTGCAGACTTGGGCGCCTAAAGGAGACAGAGTGTGTTTAAGAACAAGAGGGAAGGAGGAAGCATGTTCCCTAGCCCCGCAGCAGGAGTTGGGCCCTGGAGCAGACCTTTGTAGGGGGTGAGAGGACAGCAGGGCAGCTCACAAAGGAGGGAGCTCAGCTTTACCAAGCGGGAAACAGAGTAAGTCTCCTCAAAGGGCCTCAAATTACAGGGGGCTTCCTGATGAGCACGGAATCTATAAAAGTGGAAGTCACTGGAGACAGACGACAGAGCAAGATGTGATGTTGTTGAAGCTCAAAAAACGCCTCCAGAGACTGGAAAAAAATAAAGAGTCGAAAATGGTCTCTTTAACTGACACATCTCCACATTTGGCCTTGGTAATCAGAGGACAGTTGACTTTGCTCCATCCTAAAGCTGTCCACCATTTTGACTTTTATGCATGTTTGTGTTTTCAGAGCTGACATGGAAGAACTTTGAAAAACATGGAAACCACCACCATCTGTTCTCAGGCCTTTTTTTTCCCCCTCTGAAGATTTGCCCAAGAAGTGGTATCTAAATGCTTTCTGCATTAGACAGAAGTGCCATCCTTATGTTGAGAGAGAAGATACAGTAAAAAGGGACACCCAGTTTCTAGTCCCAGGTCTGCCCTTACCTCACTGGGCAACTTCCAGGAGTCTCTCTATCTCACTGGGCACAGCTGCCTCATCTGCAAAAGAAGTTGATTGGTCAATTTGGGTCATTATCTTTTGACTTCCTGCCATCCCAGATGAGGGCTAGCTCCTAGCATCTCTCCTCCCCTTAAAGCTATATCACCATATGACATGGTACTTAAGAGTACAGACCACCTGCCTCTTGCTAGCTGTGACTCCTGGGATGAGTTATTTATTTAACCTCTCTGTGTCTCAATTTCCTCCTTTGTATCATCGGGTTGCTGAAAGGATTAAAAGAGTTAATAGAGGTAAAGTGTTTAGAACAGTGCTTGGCACAGATAAGGGCTACTGGGGTGTTAAGTAATAATATTATTACTATTTACTTTATTAAATACCTTTGTTACTTTACATGAAATATGCTATTGATAAATCAAGAAATAAAAGGATAAACATTATTGGGGGCTATGAACAAATTCTCCGGTGGGTAGGGGTCAGAGAGAGAGCTGGGGCCATTGCTTTTCCTCTTTTTAAATCCCTTCTGTGCTTTCATTTTTTTCAAGGATATGTATGTACTATTGTCATTTTGTTTTGGATATGACACTGTTTTTTTTCAATTTAAAGAGACTGAACCAAAAGATCAGTCAAGTCCCCCTCAAATCTCTAAATTCAAGGATTGACTATGATTTTTAAGAGGCAATACTTTTGGGGTGACTGCTTACCTTTGTTATCATACCTACCATTACTGTGTTTGACCTTCTCAGGAAATCCTTATATAGGTTAAAAATAAACACAGTCACCTTCACATGTTTATAACTGAGCGGGTTTTGACTTCTTGGCTGAGAGAGAAAAATGAAAAAGGTGCAAATATAAACTATAAATACTTGGTCTTAAGGGCTGACGTGGTTTGCCCCCCTTATAACCTGTTGCATAAAGGAGAGCTTCCGGAGCAGAGTGAGCTCAAGGAAAACCGGCTGCTGGCTGCCCGGCGGTGAAAGAGTTAACAGGGCTGGGTAAGGCGATCCCTTGAAAGGAGTAGGACTCCCAGTTGTTAAAGTTTTCCAAGCTGCCGCAGGCAGCGTGGCTCTTGGGGAAAAGGAGGCAAGTTGAAGGGAGCCAGGCAGAGCCGCGGATCCTGCTGAGCTGAACTCAACAAGCGCAAGGTTAGTGACCCCGGCACAGCTCCCCAGAGCTGACATCTTTGGGGAGTTGTCTCTGGAAGGCAAGGCGCCATCTCTCATCCTCCTGTGCCGTGACTGTTCTGCTTCCTAGTGGGGCCACCCGCCCTCCTGCTGAACCTTGGGGCGGGGGGAGACCAGGAGCTGAGTTCACCTAAGCCTTGGCACTTGTGAGGGGCCCTGGACCTATTCCCAGGAGACTTTTCTAACCTGGAGACTTCTTTTCAGACATCTAAACGGAAACTTTTAGAACCAGCCCCCCCCCACACACACACACACACACACCTGTGTATGCTGCTCCATCTTGGGTTTTGCAGGCTGTGATGACATTCCAGAATTCCTAGCTGCTTCTGGTGAAACTAAGAGCAATTGTCAAAGTAGCTAAACAGGCTGCATGACTTTACCTTGTGGGAGGAATATTGTCTCCGAGGCTAGTGTCTGTCACTGAAAGTGAGTTTCTAGTAGACGTTTTCCTTGTACGTTGCCAGAACAAAATGATGCGGGCAGACGCAGTGGGAAGGAAATATTTCTACATCTGCATGAGAGTCAGATAAACTTACCCATGTACACTTGACTTGTCTGCAGGTGCTGCCAATGATAGATAAACTGAAACCTAGGGAAAGAAGGGGTTGATAGCTCCAGCTTCCAGAAATTGATTTGAGAATTGAAACTGTGTTGGGTGGTGAAGGACCCTCCTCATGCCCTGGCTGGGAGAGGGAAGTGGGTACAGCCACTTCAACAGGCTAATTCTGTCTCCCTACGCTTGCCTTCCACACGGAAGAGCGATGAGTAAGTAGTCAGTCACGGCTGAAGGCTCCCTCGGAGCCTCCAGCAGGCGGGAGCTGGGTCTTATACCTGCGAGCACTGAATCAGAATGAGTCATCTGAAACTTGGGTGCTAGAACAAAGTACTTGCAAACTGCCTTATGAGATACTGCCTCCATGTAGGTGGGGTATAGCTCTCGCAGCAGTCACATATTTTTTTTTTTCTCCTCTCATCCATTCTCCTTCAAACAGGCAGCAACTTTGACACGCTCAAGAGACCGGCTCTGCCCGCTTGGCTTAGCTGACCCTACAATGTGGGCTCTGCCCCTGCGGCTCAGGACTGGAGTTTTAAAATAAGATGGATGATTTGACGTTACTTGATCTTCTGGCGTGCCCCGTGTGCTTTGAAAAGCTCGATATCACAGCCAAGGTCCTCCCTTGCCAGCACACCTTCTGCAAACCATGTCTCCAGAGGATTTTCAAGGCCCACAAGGAGCTGAGGTGCCCCGAATGCAGGGCCCCCGTGTTTTGCGGTATCGAGGCGCTGCCGGCCAACCTACTGCTCGTGCGCCTCCTGGATGGTGTGCGCTCGGGCCAGAGCTCAGGGAGAGGGGGCTCCTTCCGCAAGCCTGGCGTGCTGACCTCACAGGACAGCAGGAAAAGCAGGACTAGCCCCAGAGGCCTGCAGTCCAGCCCGTTCCGGCTCGTGCCTAACATCAGAATCCACATGGATGGGGTAAGAAAGATCATCTTTGTTCATATCATGTCCACTTGGAGGTTGCATTTGTGTGTGCCAGCAGCGAGGGGCTATGTCTTGCAGTTACGTGTCTAACTGTCTAACAGGTGCTGCCGGGTATTCCTCGGAGATCAGTTTCTGTTGGGTGGCGACCATTTTACTGACATTTGGGGGAATCCTGAGCCTATCTGCTCATTCCAGGAATTCTTCTTAGAACTGTGGGAGCTTCCTAGGAGGTTCTTCTTGCTCCTCATCCAGAAGGTGGTAGGACAAGGAAAGCTTTCTTTGATTTTATTTTTGGTCTTTGGCTTCTGCTGTCCTGAGGCTAGCCCAGTGCATAGGAAATGCAGGACGGATAGGAAACAGGGAGCCAACAAACCCAACTGCTTGTTGCTTTGGGGATCTCGGAGAAGTTTCCAGATGTCAGGTTTTGTTTGACTGTTACCCAGATCCACCTCCCAGCCCGTCCCCGTCATAAAGTGCTATTATGACAAATGTTCATTCATAACCCATTCAAAGCTATCAAGGTAGTTGACACCCCAGTAGGGTACAGGAGGTACAGGAGGAGGGTGCACGTGTGGGTGGACTGACAGGTGGGAAACGCAGGGCTGGGAAGCACACATGTGAACAGGAGCCCCGCAGATGTGTCTTACTTTACAAAATGAATAAAACACACATCAAATGCACATCAGCGGCTGGGGTTAAACACCAAAGGGGCCCCCCCGCAGAGCCTATATATATAAGGTATCGCCCAGGGGATGCGTTGGGTGTTTGGACAATGCGAATCGCCGGGAGCCTTGCTGCGGGAAGCTGTCTGTGTAAGGGAGCGTCTCCAGAGAAAGACGTGAGCTGTCTGTGCATCCGGCAGGATTATTTGCACTGTCACCCCAGGAGTCAGTGTGCCAACCTGAACATGGCAAGCTGTGGCCTGACCCACCGGCAAACTTCAAGAGTCAAAGCCAGGCTCTGTGCAGTCTTCCTTACTGAGAGCTTTTGTACTGGCAGCAGCGTCCCAGGGTCCCAGGACTCGGGGCTGTGAGAAGTAACTGGGTGAAAGGGGGAAAGGGGGAGGTCCTCTGGAGTCCTTCCCAGCGAAGGAGAATGGGCTTGTGATGTGTGTTCAGAACGATTTTCTAAAATATCCCTTCCAACAGTTCACTTCTCCTTCAGTTCCCTGCGCCTTCAAGCCACCCATGCAGTAGGGGGAATGTGGAACCGTTTAAAAAGGAGAGTGGGAAGAGGCGGGGCATTGGAGCGGTGTCTTCACTCCAGACTTTTTGTTGCCATTGTGCTTGTGTGTGTGAACACATTCCAGAAAAGGGCTGGACGCTCTTCTTTAAGGTTTCCCATTAGCCCTGGGTCCAGCCATCAGTCAGAAGTCACAGGCTTGGAAAAGGCAGGATGGGGGTGGGGGAGCCAACTTCTCTCAGACATGCCTTATTTATAGAGAATGGGCTCCATCTCCAGCCAGCAAATCTCCCTTTGAATTCTTGAAACCCCGGCAACCCTTCCCCTCCCCCACCCTGCAGAGTCTGTCTGGCCTCCTGATAAAGTATCATTACTCACTAAGAATGCATTGCCAGACCGGAAGGAGGCAAGTCCCTTATCGCCTTTGGGTATTTTTGTTCGTGTTTTCACCTTTTTCGATGTGGCTATGTTGCTAAGAAGGGGTAGCAACACATGGACCCACAGCTACCAAGGTTTTGAACCCTAGACAATGATTCCAGGCCCCTCCTGGCAGAGGGAGTTGTGGGGATACAGCTGGTCATACGTAAGCAATAGCCATTAAGATACTGCATGTCCTTGGAACTCTTTCCCAGCGACTTGTAACATCAGACCAAGGTGCCAATCATGGCACTGTGCCCACCCACTGAGCTTCACTGGACCAAGTCCTGTCCAGTGAAGACAGAATCACTGTCTTCACTGTGAGGCTGAAAGACAAAATCAAGTCCTTGAGGGCTCTTGCTTTCAGGCAGGACCTGGTTTAGTAAAAAGATGCTCTGAAAGAGGGCAGAGCTGCCTGTTTTTCCTAAGCCCAGCTTTCTTGAAGGGCCTCACATCATCCCTTTTGCCTCTCTCAATGGGGACATGAACAAGCCCATTCCTGATGTAAATATGGCTGTCACGCTGCAACCTGTTTTACTCCCCAACATATAGCTAGCTTTCCTGTAAGTGTGAAAGCAATCCTGCATCCCTCATTTCAGAGAACTGAGGATTGTCTGGGATGCCACACTCTGCTGTGAGTCAGAGGAATGGACTTGCATCCTCAGTCAAATCCTCACCACGTTACTTGCCCTCCCATCCTCAGTTTACCCAGTCTAGTCAACAGTTAATAATACTCGCTGCCCACCTTCCTCCAGGACACTGTAAAAATTATCTTTGCGACACACGGCGTATCACCTTAGAAAACATATGCCATGTCCTGCATATGCATTACCTGAAATGCAAAGCAGAATCATTATCATTAATTTAAACTTGCTGTATGACTTTGGGCAAGCCACTTAAGTTGGCTGGGTCTCCATTTAAATTTCTGTAAAATGGGAAAATGTATTGTAAAAGCAGAGAGCCATTGTGAGACTTAACTAATTAGTGTTTGCCAAGCACTTTGAGATCCTTAAGATGAAAGGCATTTGGAAGATCCTTATCGTAGTAAACATTATTATTGACTGTTGATGGTGCCCTGCCGTGCATGAGGCATTTTACAAAACACAGAAGGAGTGATAGCCCTTGCAGGGGAGTAGAATAGGTATTATTATTGAACTTGAGTCTATGATGAGTCCAGGCCAGGATAATACTAAGTATGAAGCACTCCCCTAAGAGGGCATAAATAACCCGTGTTACAGGGTACCATTTTGTAAAACACCTCTTCCAGAGGACTCGGTGTTAACCTGGCAGTCTGAAAGAGTTCATTTAACTTCCTGTCCTCGAGCTTTTTAAGTCCAAAGCCTGTTCTGCTCACCTACACTCTGCTAATAAACAAGCTCACCACTGTCTTTTTGTTGGCTCCAAGAGGCCTAGTGCTTCTTGTGCCAGCCAGTATGCTAGGGTGGAACAAATGGTCACAGGTATGGTGCCAGCCCAAGAGAGAAAAAAAAAATAGCCCCTTGTGCCTACCCAGCTAAAATGCTCCCAAGCCGATTGTGTAAAGAGAAAGCTTGAGAAATGGCTGTAGGTTTCTACAGCATGCCATGATTTCAAACCGGGAGGTTAGAGCAGCAGACGCCCAGAGGGCCCCTGACAGAGTGAATCCCACTGGTTCGTCTCCTTTCCAGACTGCAGTCAGGCCAAAGGAGCTTTGCAAGGCTTTGAGAAGATGAGGGGCTCCTGAATAGCTGATCTGTCTTCCTCCTGATTCTGTTACCCTTTAATAGTATTTCTGAATTCAGATAGGCAGGGAAGCAACAAAGCTAAGTACTTACGAACTTAGGTTGGAAAAAATCAGAATCCAAATCCTGCTTCTGCCCCTCAGTAGTTGTATAATTGGGGTGAGTCACAAACCCATTCCCCACCTGTAAATTGGAGGTAATAGAAATACCTACTTCAGAGGGTTGCTGTGAGAAATAAATGAGATGATTCACATCAATTAGTTCTTAGCGCGGTGACTGGTTCAGATTAGGAGCTCAATAAATGTTAGCTGTTATTGTTATTGAGGTGACTCAACACTTTCCACTCTAAATTACACACCCTCTTTCACCCCCTTCATCGTTAATCGGGTGTGCTCCAGAGATAGTCCTTGGTACCCTGATTCCTGGCTTCTTTTGTTTGTCTCCCAGTGATCCATGGCCATGATTTACATGAGTTGATTCTAGGAGGAAACCTGCTAGCCAACTTCACTTCCCCAAATAGCAAGCTTAAAGGAACACCACATGCATGGCAAGAACCTGGTCCACTTCCAAGCATCACCGATTTTTCATTAACTTCTCTCTTTCCTATCCCCTGCCTCTCACTCTCCCTAACACAAATGTTGCCACCCTGGGTTTTGCAGGGCTGGACTTTCTCCCTTCTTTGTTAAGTATCATGCGAACCACACACATTCCTATCTCACTCGCCCTGTCTCAGCGAGAACACACCTGCCACCTCCAGCACACAGAGCAGGTGGCTGTGTCCTAGAAACTTTTTCAGCTGGTGTTGCAAGCAACTGAGGGAGAAAAATGAGGTCAGAAAGTACATGGGGGAATTGAGGCTGGGCAGAAACCAGAAGGCATCTGAGCCCCATTTCTCGGTCTCAGCTGTTGTGTCCTGCAGCAGAGCTGCGACACAGACCATGGTTTTTGCTAAATTTGCAAGGGGACTAAACCCATTTCAAGCCCCTGCAAATAGCAGGCAGGTGCCACCTGGGTCAGCGAGGACCACATGTGGCAGGTGGAAGAAGACGTAAAGGCAGGAGCTGGGGTGGAGAAGTCAGGAGATCCAGATGGTTCTCCAGTTTCACACACATTTGCAAACCTTTTTAAAAGCCACGTGGCCCCAGCTTAGCTCTGTCCCCAACCTATACTTCCTTCCTCATTACAGTTCCCTCCCTTTTGTTGATTACTATAGTGTTTAAGGATTGTAGTCAAATTGAGCAGTTATTCGTTAGCTGTGAGGCCTTAGGCAATTCATTTAACCTCTCTGACCTTCAGTTTCCATATTTGTATCATGGAGACAACAGCAGTGTACATATATCATAGGGCTATTATAAAATTAAAATGAGACAATGTATATAAAAAGTTTAGTACAGTGCCTGGTGCATAATGGGTGCTCATAAATGTTAGCAACGGCAAATAACAACCAACATTAGAGGAGAAAGTCCTTTGGCATTGGATTTGGAGTTCTTTGCATCCACACGTACACATGCAGAGACCTCCATTGAAAAGTAAGGGAAGGGGACAGCAAAAGGAAAGAGAGCTCTTGAAAAGACAAAACGACAGTGATGCAAAATGGTGGTTTTCAGTGGTTTGCCAAGGGTTATGAGCTATGAGAGGATGTGACTTTTATAGCTTGAGGGAGACTTACGGGGT